GATTCCTTCCGTTCGGTTTTTCCGCCAGCGTCGGGGTGTTCAAGAACGGCCGCGTGGAGATCATCGCCAACGACCAGGGCAACCGCATCACGCCGTCGTACGTGGCCTTCACCCCTGAAGGGGAGCGACTGATCGGCGATGCAGCCAAGAACCAGCTCACCTCCAACCCTGAGAACACTGTCTTCGACGCCAAGCGTCTCATCGGCCGCACTTGGAATGACCCATCTGTGCAGCAGGACATCAAGTTCTTGCCTTTCAAGGTTCGAACGGGTTTTTCTCACCTGGGTAGAAAGTTGGGTGCAGGTGGTGGTGGGGAGTAGTTAAGAGTTAAGAAGTTAATGAAAAAATGTTGAGGCGACTAAAAAGAATACGGATGTGGTGTATGTTACAAAACTAAAGTTGGCAATCCTAAACTTTGTCAACGATAGTTTAGGATTAAGAGGCCAACTAAAACTGAAGAGGCATGTTTTTATAAGGCACCTTTACTGTTACGTATTTCTGTTTCTGCTTTGAGAGACCAAAAGACAAGCTAGAGGGGAGGAAGTGGGTCCCAGACAAAGCTTGAAATGTCAAAAAATGTTTGAAATGTTAGTATTTCTGTGTCTGAAAATAATAATCATTTTATAAATAGGTTGTTGAAAAGAAAACTAAACCATATATCCAAGTCGATATTGGAGGTGGGCAGACAAAGACGTTTGCTCCTGAAGAAATTTCTGCCATGGTTCTCACTAAAATGAAGGAAACTGCTGAGGCTTATTTGGGAAAGAAAGTATGTATTTCTGGAACAATGTTAAGTAATTTTATTACTGTTCTTGATTGTGTTGTTAAGATGATTTTATTTTAATAATTTTAATCAGTATGACATCCATGAATATGAGTTTCAGTTAACTTGCATGCTTTACTGTAGGGCAAACAAAATACTAGGGACTTTCTATGTGTTATCACTGAATGCTCTCAAATCCGTGGATAGAAAATTATATGTACTACATCCATCTTACAAAGAAACTGATTTAGAAATGAAAGTGTTGGTTTGACTAAAGGGTTAAATCATGTAATAAAATACTTAATTAACTTTTGTTATCCTTCGAGGTTACCCATGCAGTAGTTACTGTACCAGCCTATTTCAATGATGCCCAACGCCAGGCAACCAAAGATGCTGGAACTATTGCTGGATTGAATGTTATGAGGATAATCAATGAGCCGTAAGTGTTAAATTCAAAGATACGGTATATATGCCAAAAAAAGGGAAATGTAAGTTTAAGCTTTTTTTTCTTTTCTTTCTAACAGTACAGCAGCTGCTATTGCTTATGGCCTGGACAAGAGGGAAGGGGAGAAGAACATCCTGGTGTTTGATCTGGGTGGTGGAACCTTCGATGTGTCTCTTCTAACCATTGATAACGGTGTCTTTGAAGTTGTGGCCACTAATGGAGATACTCATCTGGGTGGAGAAGACTTTGACCAGCGTGTCATGGAACACTTCATCAAGCTCTACAAAAAGAAGACTGGCAAAGATGTTAGGAAAGACAACAGAGCAGTGCAGAAACTCCGACGTGAGGTAGAAAAGGCCAAACGGGCCCTGTCTTCTCAACATCAAGCAAGAATTGAGATTGAGTCTTTCTATGAAGGAGAAGACTTCTCTGAGACCCTGACTCGGGCCAAGTTTGAAGAGCTAAACATGGTATGTTCCTTGTTTATTTCCTTTACTGGTGAGATCTAGTTCGACACTCTTGAGTTCGTGACAGTTAATGTGTAGACAACATCAAGCGGTACAGGCATCATCACAGTAATTCTCTTATTCTAGGACCTGTTCCGTTCTACCATGAAGCCTGTCCAGAAAGTGCTGGAAGATTCTGATTTAAAGAAGTCTGATATTGATGAAATTGTTCTTGTCGGTGGCTCTACTCGAATCCCAAAGATTCAACAACTGGTTAAAGAGTTCTTCAATGGCAAGGAGCCATCCCGTGGCATAAACCCAGATGAGGCTGTAGCATATGGTGCTGCTGTTCAGGCTGGTGTTCTCTCTGGTGATCAAGATACAGGTAGGCTGGCATCACAGCATCTTCCATGGTGCTTCAGTAGCTGAATGGGAGGAGTGTCAGTAGCTCTTGCTTTAGAAAGTAATAGAATACAAGCAACGAGGTCACACATCTAGTAAAGGGGACAGTGAGGATAAGACTGGCACAATCTCAAGGTCCTCTGCTTTGAAAATGGTTTTGTGTAGAACCTAACCAAATGGCCAAAGGGAGAAGATAAAGTTACACTGTTTGTGGGGAGACTGCGTGATGGTGCTCTTAGGACTCTTGAATTTGAACTTATTTCCGTTAACTTACCTTTGCAGGTGATCTGGTACTGCTGGATGTATGTCCCCTTACACTCGGTATTGAGACTGTGGGAGGCGTCATGACCAAACTGATTCCAAGGAACACTGTGGTGCCCACCAAGAAGTCTCAGATCTTTTCTACAGCTTCTGATAATCAACCAACTGTTACAATCAAGGTCTATGAAGGTAATTTCTTACATTTGTTAATACCATAGTATGTTTTTGAAGAGCATGATATCTTGCTTAAAATGCTCTATTGAAATGACTAGGAAAGAGACGCCTGCTATTTTCAAATGGGTGTGCCTAATTTGACTAGTGTTGAATTTGGTGGAGTCAGTACTAAAATTCAGTTCTAATCTAGCACCCTTTCCCATTAAAAATAACTTATGAGCTGGCTCTTAGAATACAATAACAAGAAATGGGTTCATAATGCTATAAAGTAGATGAAATTCAGTTTAGAGTTGGTGACTCAACTCACTCTTAGTCCTATTTGCTGCTACTTACAGGTGAATACTGACCCACTTGTAACTGAATGGAGTGCCCTTGCCACTCACTGTAGGGTCTGATAGACTGAGATGTGGGGATCCAGGTGTACTGGTATTTGTCAGTAGCAATAAGTTTTTTGTGTTTAACTTCTAGGTGAACGACCCCTCACGAAAGACAATCACCTTCTGGGAACTTTTGATCTGACGGGAATTCCTCCTGCTCCTCGTGGGGTTCCACAGATTGAAGTCACCTTTGAGATAGATGTGAATGGCATTCTTCGCGTGACGGCTGAAGACAAAGGTACAGGCAACAAAAATAAGATCACCATTACCAATGACCAAAATCGCCTAACACCTGAAGAAATTGAAAGGATGGTTAATGATGCCGAGAAGTTTGCCGAGGAAGACAAAAAGCTCAAGGAGCGCATTGATACCAGAAATGAATTGGAAAGCTATGCCTATTCTCTAAAGAATCAGATTGGGGATAAAGAAAAGCTGGGAGGCAAACTTTCTTCTGAAGATAAGGAGACCATGGAAAAAGCCGTAGAGGAAAAGATTGAATGGCTAGAAAGTCACCAAGATGCTGACATTGAAGATTTCAAAGCTAAAAAGAAGGAACTAGAAGAAATTGTCCAGCCAATTATCAGCAAACTCTATGGAAGTGCAGGCCCTCCCCCAACTGGTGATGAGGAAGCAGCAGACAAAGATGAGTTGTAGACACTGCTCTGCCAGTGCTGTAATATTGTAAATACTGGACTCGGGAACTTTCGCTAGGAGAAAATTGAGAGAACTTAAATCTCGAATGTAATTGGAATCTTCACCTTGGAGTGGAGTTGAAAATGCTATAGCCTAAGTGGCTGTTTACTGCTTTTCATTAGCAGTTGCTCACATGTCTTGCGGTAGAAGAGGAGGAATTGGCTATCTTAAAAAGTGGGCAAAACTGGGTTAGGGTGTGTGTTCACCTTGGAAATGTTATTTAACAACTGGTCATGTGCATCTGGTGTAGGAACTTTTTTCTACCATAAGTGACACCAATAAATGTTTATTTACACTGGTCTTATTTTTGTGACAAGCTTCTAATTAGGTCATTTATTTTAAGGCGTAAGCCTCACTTGGGGTAAGTGCTGGGGTTTTGAGGTAAAGAAATTTTTTTTCAATATTTTCAGGGAGCTTGCAAGGACCATTTTACAATGACCAAGAGTGGAGTTTTCTTGAACATGCTTGAAATTTCCTATTCCTCTTGTCCTGCTGGTTGCTTTTTATTACTGATTTATAGCTACTTGTATTCTCTTAAGATTTGATAGATTGACAGATCACTGTTATTTACACACTTAGATCCAATCTATGGATATAAAGGTGTGTTTTGAGCTTTAAGTTATGTCAGAGTCTCCATCTCAAATTTCTCTGGTACTGGACAGGACCTAGAATGGTAACCTGGAAGCAGCATTCAACCCTACTGCAACTGTGGCCCAAAAGCAGTCATTTGTGTCGCGACACAGGTTCAAGATTACTTGGATTGGCTTCCTGAGGAAAGGATAACCTTGTTGAAATAATTAGTATGGTCAGTAATAAGGCCAGCTGTCTGATGTTAACATGAATCCAGTACTGCCCAAGGATAATTTATAAATGAGCAACTTGGCTGAGAGGTTACTTTGCCAACTGTGGCAGAACTGGGACCTCATGGCATGATTGTTTTACACTGAGGCCCAGACTGCTGTGGGTGGTATTGCCCCAGAAGCATCTGGACTGGCCTGGAGTATAATACAGATGGCCTTCAGGTGAAGTTCAATACAAACGTTAAAAATGACCCACAGTGCTGTCTGCAGTGGCGTCTGATAATAGTTGGGAAACACGGCTTCATCCCTGTCCTCAGTGGTTCACTAACAAATGCCAACTGATAGTACATCTTTCTGAGGAGCAGCTACTAAATACTTTAAAGTCCACTCAGTTCCTACAGCTTACACCTAACAATTATGATACCACAACTTTTTTGTGTGATTACTATTAACAAATTATGGTTGTAATTGCTGGCAAACCCCTTTAAGAGGTTTTTCTACTGGGCTACCCAGGTCATTTCTATACCTACCAAAGTAGTTACGAATAAGAACGTAATAGTGCAGAAAGTATTTTGGAGTTATGAGACAGCTAAGGTTCATTTTTTATCTAACTTCTTCTGAAAGCAATTGACATTTAAACACTTTTAAATGTGGGTTTTATTAGTCAACTACAGTCACAATACAATCATCATAGATTTCCCCTTCTGTATTCATCCCACCAAACACAAAACAGAGCAGCCTGTCAGTCTGATTTTCCTCCTGTGAGTCACCACCCTGAGTCACTCCTTTGTCAGTGGAATCCCCTTTCTCAGCATCACAGTTCACAGTGGTAGAATTTGAATTTTTCTCAGAAGCAGACATCACTGGCCATGGAATGATACACATGGAATGGTCCAATCGTCCAGGAGGCAGAAAAGTATCAAATTTAAGCAAGGTCCAGTGCTGCTTTTCTATGTTAGGGGAGGAAAAAACAAAAGCTCTGTGTTAAGAAATTTCCAGAAATGTTCAGTGATCTGCTGTATCACCTGAGCCCTAACAGAAACGGGAAATAAAATTAATGACACTGTTACTGTTTTGATGATGTCATTCCCTTAAAGTTTGGTTTCTATTCCTTTGGATTTAAGTGTGAAGGGACTAAATTGAAGAACCAAAGCACTGTGATACTTAAGAAAATGGTCAGCTGTTGAAAGACCCACCCACAGTGAACACCTCACCTGTGTGATACTGGTACATTGTGTCCAGGGCTCCTGTGGGAGTCATCCCTCCGAAGACATACACATGTTTTCCCATGGTCACAGCTGAGTGGGCAGCACAGCCAATGGGAGCTGCCCCAGTGGGACTGAGCTGCTGCCACTTCATGTCACCTGCCAAGAGAAAGAAAGTGGGTACAACAGTAGTCTAGATGTGGTCTCAAACTTAACTACCAGACTCTAGTTTGCAAACCACTCATTGAGTGTCATTTACCAAGAGCTCTGAGAGGTAACTTTGCAAGGTTTAGTGCATGTAAAAATTACTTGGGTGAGCTTGAGATTCTGTTGGGGTATTCCAGGGAGGGAGGGACTAAGCCTCCCAGGTGATGCTGATGGTGGTGGTCTTCCAAGCACACAGGAATGTGTATCTTAGGTGACCATCATCATTAATTATTTCGGAGCCTGGAATTTAGGTGAGGTTCCAAGTTTTTATTGTGTATGTGAGTGTGTGTGCGTGCACATGTTTTTAGTACAGTTCCTTAGAAAGCAACTTTGTGAGTTCTGGCTAAATACTGGAAGTATCTTGCTTACTTAATTCTCATATAACAGCCCTATGAAGTTGGTATTACTTCTGCCTATCCTCTTTCTTACAGGTAAGGGAAGAGGAATTAGGTAGGAAAAGAGACTTGTCTGAGATCCCCCAATTAGCAAGTGGCAGACAGGGCTAGAATGATACTCAGGTTTGACTCCAAAACCTATGTTCTCTATACCATAACGTGCTGTCTCAGCACCTGCCTCCAACCTATTTCTGCATGGATATTTGCATCTTTTTCAGCAAGTGTTGAGATGAGGTAGGATATGATTGGATTTTAGGTTTAGAGAACTACATGGGTAAGGAAGGAAGAAAAACAGGAAGTAGTTCCTCAGCATAAGAGAAAAGGACCTTTTTAAAAATAATCATTAAAACCCCATTTGCCTGCCTTCAAGGAACACTTCTGTGAAGGTATTTTTCTGTCTGTCAACTCAACACAGGACCCCAGGATCTGAGGTGGAAGGGGAGAATCACCCTGTCTAGCCAAAACTCCAGCCAATGCAGGAATCCCAGCCAGTGTTGCCAGGCATCAGATGTCACCAAGCTAGAGGGCCCATTGTTTGGCAAGGTGGCCCAGTCCACTGCACAACAGGTCTCATGCTTTCTGCCCATTGTTCCAATTCTTGTGGTCTGGAGCAATGCAGAACATGTTCATTTGTCCAGTGATCAGCAGATGTGAACTCATCATTTATAATCTGCCAGACACTGTTAAGTGCTGGAAATACACTGGGAACAAAAGAGACAAAGTCCCTGCCCCAAGGAGCTCACAGTGTGATAGAATGACTCCAAACGAGTCCAGGCTCTCTAGTGCACGTCAGCCCTTCAGACACGTAAAAGCAATAGTCAGGTTTTCCCTAACTTTCCTCTTCCCAATGTTTTTAACTACTCAGCATGCCAGTTCTGGTCAACTACCACCAGACACACTCTAGAAGTTAGTCGGGGAACAGAAAGCATAATGAATTTTAATGCAAGAGCAAAGTTGTTGGAAGGATAAGAGAGAACGGCTGGGTACATAGCAAGTGCTCAGGAAATGACTGCTTTTACTGCCATTATTGTTTATTACTATTATCCAGGTACATTTGACATAGTCTAGTGAAGATTCTGCTGGCTGGTCAAGTTACCCAAACCTAAGAGCAAGGCTATAGTCTATCAAAGCACATTTCATTTAATTTAAAGCAGACAAACCCCCATGCCCTCCATACTACTTACTTATATCAATGCAATGGAGATCATCATAGAACTTGTCCCCTGCCAAACCTCCATGGATGAACAGTTTTGTCCCTGCTGCTACCATTACATGACCATGCCGGGGGGATGGAGGTTTTCCAAGTGTCTCTGGCTGTGACCAGGTCAGAGTGTCTGAAAAAGTAATTCACTGACATCAGACAACAAAGCTACAAAGCAAGAACATGAGAAATACATCCAAGCCTCACTTCCTCACAAGGAGAAATGCTTCAACACAAAGTGACACTGGGGTCATTCACTCCAACTCACCAACCCAATTCAGGTCTCCCTCCCTCAACAGCCTGTGCAGCCCCTGCCTAGTCACATCTGGGGGCTGCAGCAGTCACTACCTGAAACATCTGCCCCTTCTACTATCAGGCAGTAGGAAAGCATTCTTTGCTTTGAATTAAAAAGACCTCCCTTAGTTTCAACCTAGAACTGCCCCCAAGTTAAAAAGAATGAATCTGCTGCTTCCCTGACAGGCCTTCAGAATCTTCTTTTTTCAAGACAATATCCTTATCGATTTGCTGGAAGCATGTGGAAGGAAATTGACTTTTAAAGTTAGGAGGACCTTCTGAAGTGGCAGTGTAAGTTAATGGTTAGAACATAGGATCTGGAGTTAAAATAGGTTACTTCATTGAACAACTGTGTGTACGTGCACCAGTTAATTCTCTAAGCTTTCGTTTCTACAGTTGTAAAATGGAGTTAAAGATAACACCTACCTCTCAAAGTTGAAGCATGGGTTAAGTAAGATAATGTACATAAAGCACAGGCACAGGGAAAGTATCCAATTCCTCAGAAATTAATACGGTTATTATCCTAATAGCACAGATGTGTTCTACCTGCTGGCGACCCTTCACATCTTCAAAGTTGTGTATATACAGAATTTGAGAACAATAATCAATCATTGCAACAAAGCAAAAAAGTCTTAAAGGAATGTTGCAAAAACCATTTGAGACAAAAGCCTGTCAACAATTTATCTTTGAACTACTGCTTGTGGCACGCCTGCAGGTTACATAAGGAGACCCCAGTGTTTCAAGGACAACAAGCAGAAATAATCTGAAAAGGTTTGTGTCCAAATATATTCATCATGGCATTGTCTGTAATACAGAAGAATTGGAAATAGACTAAGTCTACCTGCAGGTGAATGGTTATTATTGCTATGGTCACAGAATACCATACATTCATTAAAAATGTGAAGACTTCGTGGTTACAGTGGAAATGCTTAAGTGAAAAATATAGGATACAAATATTACATATAGAATTATCTGTTATTTAAAAAAAAAGACGAAGTGCATTGAGATGTTAATAATTTGGTGGTGATATATATATACATATATATCTATATATCACACATACACTTAGAGCGTACATAGATACACATTTATTTTCTCCTTCCTTAGAGTTTTACATGTATCAAACAAATATTATTTAACATCTTAAAAATTGCTTTAGGAGAATCACAAAACCAATTCTTTCTGGAAAGAGAAAAGTCATAATGTGATATGTCTCAATTCTTCCAGTTTTACTTTATGAGTTTAAAATTTTGCTTATGGCATTTTATCAAAAAAAGGCTGCATAGTTCCTGAAATATACACATGGAAATTGTATTTGTCAGATTATTTGTTAAGTATTACTCATAAATTCTCACTACCAAGAGGAAAAAATGTAGACATTTGCTAGACAACAATTTGGCAAGAGGTCTCACAATTTACCATTTTGACCTAGTAATTCCACTTCTCAGCATCTCTTCCATACAAATGTTTATAATGTATCTAAGAATTGACATGCATGTTCACTGCAACACTGTCAGCAAAATGTCAATCGGCAGAAAAATGGATGAATAAAGAATACACACAGGAGGATATGCTTTGCAAAGAAATTGGTACTGACTTAGAAGACATCTATGATATATAATTAAATGAAGGAATAATAATAATAACACAGTTCATATACATTAGATGCTTCCTATGTGCCATGCATCATATCACATGATCTCATTTAACCTTTCCAACTCTTTGTGGTAGGTGCTATTACTCTACTTTACAGATCAGCAAACTAAGACTTAGCGAGATTAAGTAACCTGTTGAAAGTAATATAGAAAGTATGCGTCAGATGTAGTCCTGAGTCCATGGTGTGCAGCTTCGAAGTTCAGGCTTTCAGCTACTAAGATCTACCCTTAGCCTTGCAAAAGTAAGCTGTGGAACAGTATATATAATTTAATTCCACACATGTGTTTTAAAGTTTTCACATAATTTCCAAATTCATAGAAAATTCACATATGTACAGGTATGTATGATTAAGTGCATAAGAAAGTCTAGAAGGAAACACTGGGAACTGCTTAACAGTGTTTACCTCTGTCCAGAGAGTGGGAAGGAGAGGCTGAAGGCTGAAGGCTAAAAGCGAAACTTTTACTTTTTTACTTTATAAACTAAGTTTAAATTTTTAAAAATTGATCATTTATATCTGTTCAAATGCAAATTTTGCTGTGGGACGACGGTATCAACTAAGGGATATACCAAAGACGTCTAGAAGTGAGACACGAAGTCAGGGCGTCATTTTCTAACCTCTGCTTCCTACATCAGGTAAGCTGCAGGCGGGGATGACCCTGAACAGGTAAGTGGCAGCCCCGAGGTGCCCACCAGTCCATACTTGCATCAAACACATGAAGTTTCACATCCTGCACGGGCTGGGCACCTCTCTCTCCACCTCCAAAGACATACAGCTGGTTTCCAATGGCTGCTGAAGACGTGTGAAATGTTCTTGGGGATGGTGGCAGGTTGGTCACCTCTGGTATGGTCCAAGTCCTGGTTTCTGGTCCAAGGAGAAAACAGGCACCTAAAACACCCAGTTTGAGGGGCCTCTGACCTTGACTCTGGGGCTGGACAGGATCACCTTCTAAACCTCACTTCCTAAGGAGGACAGTGTAAGTCTAGGCAGGGATCTCGCCACCAGAGTCAAGGAGGCATAGGGGGCAATACTTAGAATAGATAAGAGTCAAATCCTGAAGACTGAAGTCACAAGTGCAATTAAGAATGAGGTCGATTTGTTTTTGGAGGACTTCAAATATCCTCTCTGAACCCTCTTCCACTTTGCTCACTACCCTGATCTGTGTGCATTCAGAGGAGCTCAATGTTTGCAAAAGTTCATTCCCACTAGAAGCTAGAACGAAATGTGCCAAATTTCTCAGGAAATATGGCCGTTAAAAGAAAGTAGACAATGTTATCACAGTTTCAGTAGCAGTAATAACAGTCCCCTACTCAACAGTAAGTGCTAAGTAAATATTGTTTCTCCATTTTATAGACCAGAGAATTGAAGCAGAGATAGATGAGGTCACTTGTTTAAGGTGACATGGCTAATAAATGGCTGAGTTGGGATTCAAAATTCTATTTCAATAACACCAAGATCCATGCATTTTCTACTCTTTGGACTTGAGAACACAATTTCCCCACCTGGGTAGGTATAAAACAGCTTATTTCTTTTTAGAATGAAACATAATTTTATAGAAACAGATGCATTAACTGAGCACCTTCCTCATACAGAATCACTGCCCTGAGCACTCTGCCATCCCCACTACCCTTATTCAGCCCTGGGAGATGGGTGGAAAGTCTCCCCACTTTGCAGATGAGGGAAATGAAGCTCAGAAAATATAAATCCTCTCCCTCAGGTCCCGGGACTTGTGAGTAGCAGAGCAGCAGTTTGAATTCAGACATGTCAAGACTCCTGTACTCACTCTACCACCACCCACCGGGAAATAATTCTTTCCTGGGAAGTTTGGGGCTTTTGGTAAAGGGCCACATGAAGTGCTTCTAAGACGTGTGGAACTCAAACATGAACCTGGAGACCAAACAAATCTCAGCCTATATCCAAAGCAAAATGTAATTGTCTCTGTGGTTACAGATCTTAGAAAGCTTTTGGATCTTAGGGGGAGTTAGAAGGTACACGACCTCCAGGGTCAGAGGATCAGGGTTTGTGTTCCTGCCAAGTTAAATGCCAGCACAGATAATCACAAAGGAGTCCTAAGCCATTGGACAGACTTGCCTCAGGAACAAAAGCAACTAATGATTTCTTAGGCATGGTGTCAAATTATACTTTCTAGGAGAGAAAAATGATATGGTGGAAAACCAATTCCTTTGTTGTTATTTTTTAAAGTGTTTCTTTTTATTGAAGTATAGTTGATAAACAATATTATTTTAGTTTCAAGTATACAACACAGCGGTTCAACACTTGCACGCATTATTAAATCCTCATTCCAACTAGTGGAGTTACTATCTGTCAATATAGAAAATTGATACAGAATCATTGACCGTATTCTAATGCTGAACATCCATCCCTGTGACCAACCTATATTATGATTGAGATTTTTTCGTGCCCCTTTATCCCCTGCACACACCCCACTCACCCACCCCAACCCCTCCCCCATGGTAACCACCAATCACTTCTCAGTGTATATATGAGTCTACTGCTGTTTGTTCACTTTGTTTTGTTTTTAGATTCCACAAATAAGTGAAATCATATGCTATTTGTCTTTCTCCACCTGTCTTATTTTACTTAGCATAAAACCCTCTAGGTCCATCCATGTTGTTGCAAATGAATACCAATTCCTTTGACAGAGGCTTTCCAAATTCTTACTGTATGTTAGCCAAATGGATGCCATTACTGAAAATCAAAAGGCCAGGGCTCCAGAAATGATTCCATCTGCCAAACTACAGCTATATCAACCACAACAATAATTACTGAGCTTTAACTATGTGCAAGATATTGAGTTAATTTAAATCATTGCCAAACTTAAAAAGATAGGAGCTATTACTATCCCAAAGTGATAGAAGCTAACTGGGCTTCTATAAAAGCATAGAATATTGTCAATTAAGGAGCTGGACAAGAGTTGACTGTTAGGTGAAAAATGACCAGGTTATTTGTAATTAACAAAATGCATATTTAAAAAATCAGATACAAGTTTTTTGCCTATCAAATTAGAAGTGTTTAAAAATGATAAATTCAATGCATGTCAGGAGTGAAACAAGCATTATTAAACACAGCTACAGAGAGGATAAGCTAGACAATCTTCTTGGAAAGCAACTGGGTAGCATGTATCAAAAGCTATAAAGTTCATAGCATTTTACTTAATATGTTTATTTCTGGGAATGGATTCTAAGAAAATAATCTGACATATAAACAATGACTTCCAAAAAAAGATGCTCACTGCTTTGTCATTCATAATGGCAAAAATCTGAAAACAACCTAAATTATGGTATTGTCATAAAATGGAGTATAATGCAGCCACTAAAAATGGTGTTAACGAAGCACTGAAAATAGGAAGTCATTTCTCTGGTAATTATGAAATTAAAAAGATAAAGGTACAACAGTGTAGTGTTGGAAAAGTATGATCTTTGGCTTATAAAAATGCGGAGAAAAGACAGGAAGTACACAAAAATGTTAATAGCCTTAATGTCACAGGATTGTGGATGGTTTCTGTCCACATATTTACACTTTTCAAATGTCTTACAATGAATATAAATTATATTTATAAATTACAAACTGATAAATTATGTATTAATAGTTCCAATATAATAGATTTATTTTATATGTACTATAATAAACCTAATGTAATTAAATTTATAAATTATATTCATAATATAAATTATTATTTATAATAAGACAACAACAAAAATTTTTTAACCTGACAAACAGACAAATAATCATCCATTGGTGGTTCAACAACATTCTCTGAGCAGAGATATTCCCAAACTGCTTCCTCTGTAATAAAACTGCCAGTGAGACTCATTAGCAACTTTGCACTTTTGGGCTAAAAGAAACCTACTAGGGGGATCTAGGTCAGGGTTTCTTAATTTTGGCACTATTGACATTTTAGACCAGGTAACTTGTTACTGGGGGCCTGTCTTGTGCATAACAGGATGTATAGTAGCATCTCTGGCCTCTACTCAACAAGACACAGTAGCAACTTCAATCCAGCCTCAAGTTGTGATGACCTAAAATGTTTCCAAGTCATGACCTTTGGACAATCGATTGGACAATAACCCCCATCTGAGACTACTAATCTAGGTGAAAGGTTCTAGCCTAGTTCAGTCATGGACTTGCCAGTGACTTTAGGAAAGTCACTTTCCCTGGACTTGGGTGGGCCATTTAGCACGCTGTTCTCTGAAGTCTCTTTTAGCTTTGTTTTTTATGAAGTTGATCATTGTACATGTTGCCATGAAAACAAAATGCAATTCTGTTATTTTCAGATTCTGCTAGATGTTAAAATTCCTACTTCCAATGAGGACACAAATATTAAATGGATTATTCAGTACAATCCAAACAGGTTTTTGTATTGGAATTGGAATTATTTATGTCATTAGGTAAATAAAGCCCTTCAAGGCTATCATCAGACTTCTCAGCAGAAACCTTACAGGCAAGAAGGGAGTGGCATGATGTATTTAATGCAATGAAGCAGAAGGGCCTCAAATGAAGAATACTTTATCTGGCAAGATTATCACTTAAATTTGAAGGAGGGATTAAACAATTGCCACATTAGCAAAACCTGAGAGAATTTACCTCCCCAAAACTGTCTCTACAGTGTATTTTGGAGGGACTGCTCTAGATGGAAGTGTTCCTAAGGCTTAATAGCTGTCACCAGAGGTAATAAAACAACAGTAAAGAAAGTAGAACAGTTAATTAATAAGCAAACACAAAATTAAATCAACTACCCCCAAAGTCAATCAAAGGACTGACAAAGAGTACAGAATATGATACCTAATATTTAAAGAATGGAGGAAGAAGAAAAAGGAGGAGAAAAAAAGAACCTTTAGATTGTGTTTGTAATAGCATACTAAGTTAGTTAAGTTAAACTCTCAGATAGTAAGGAAGTTAACCTTGAATCTTTGGTAACCATGAATCTAAACCCTGCAATGGCAATAAGTACATACTTATCGATAATCACCCTAAATGTCATTGGTCTGAATGAACCAATCAAAAGACAGAGAGCCACTGAATGGATTAAAAAACAAGACTCATCTATATGCTGCCTACAAGAGACTCACTTTAAACCCAAAGACATACACAGACTAAAAGGGAAGGGATAGAAAAAGATATTTCATGCAACTAATAGGTAGAAAAAAGCAGGAGTTGCAGTACTTGTATCAGACAAAATAGATTTCAAAACAAAAAAATCCATAAGAGACAAAGAAAGCCATTACATAATGATAAAGGGGTCAATCCAACAAGAAGATATAACCATTATAAATATCTATGCACCCAACACAGGAGCACCTACATATGTGAAACAAATACTAACAGAATTGAAAGGGGAAATAGAATGCAATGCATTCATTCTAGGCATCTTCAACACTCCACTTACTCCAAAGGACACATCAACCAGACAGAAAATAAGTAAGGAGACAGAGGCACTGAACAACACATTAGAACAGATGGACCTAACAGACATCTACAGAACTCTACACCCAAAACCAGCAGAATATACATTCTCCTCAAGTGCACATGGAACATTTTCAAGAATAGATCATACACTAGGCCACAAAAAGAGCCTCAGTAAATTCAAAAAGATTGAAATTGTACCAACCAGCTTCTTAGATCACAAAGGTATGAAACTAGAAATAAATTATACAAAGAAAATGAAAAATCCCACAAACACATGGAGGTTTCACAACATGCTCCTAAATAACCAATGTATCAATGACCAAATAAAAACAGAGATCAAGCAATATATGGAGACAAATGACAACAATAATTTAACATTGCAAAATCTGTGGGATGCAGTGAAGGCCATTCTAAGAGCGAACTATACTGCAATACAGGCCTACCTCAGGAAAGAACAACAATCCCATATGAACAGTCTAACCTCACAATTAACAAAACTAGAAAAAGAAGAGCAAATGAGGCCCAAAGTCAGTAGAAGGAAGGACATAATAAAGATTAGAGCAGAAATAAATAAAATCAAGAAGAATAAAACAATAGACAGAATTAACGAAAGCAAGAGCTGGTTCCTTGAGAAAATAAACAAAATAAATGGACCCCTAGCCAGACTTGCCAAGAAAAAAAGAGAGTCTATACACATAAACAGAATCAGAAATGAGAAAGGAAAAGTCACTATGGACACCACAGAAATACAAAGAATGATTAGAGAATAGTATGAAAAATTACCTGCTAACAAACTGGATAACCTAGAAGAAATTGACAACTTTCTAGAAAAATACAACCTTCCAAGGCTGACCCAGAAAGAAACAGAAAATCTGAACAGACCAATTACCAGCAAGGAAATTGAATTAGTAATCAAAAAACTCCCTAAGAACAAAACTCATGGACCTGATAGCTTCACTGCTGAATTTTATCAAACATTAAGTGAAGACCTAATACCCATTCTCCTTAAAGCTTTCCAAAAAGTAGAAGAGGAGGGAATATTTCCAAACTCATTCTATGAGGCCAGCATCACTCTAATACCAAAACCAGGCAAAGACACCACAAAAAAAGAAAATTACACACCAATACCACCGATGAACATAGATGCAAAAATACTCAACAAAATATTAGCAAACCAAATTCAAAAATATATCAAAAAGATCTTCCATCATGATCAAGTAGGATTTATTCCAGTGATGCAAGGATGGTACAACATTCGAAAATCCATCAACATCATCCACCACATCAACAAAAAGAAGGACAGAAACCACATGATCATCTCCATAACTGCAGAAAAAGCATTTCACAAAATTCAACATCCACTCATGATAAAAATTCTCAAAAGAATGGGTATAGAGGGCAAGTACCTCAACATAATAAAGGCCATATATGACAAACCCACAGCCAACATCATACATAACAGCTAGAAGCTGAAAGCCTTTCCTTTAATATTGGGAACAAGACAAGGATGCCCACTCTCTGCACATTTATTCAACATAGTTCTGGAGGTCGTAGCCACAGACAGCAATTAGATAACACAAAGAAATAAAGGGCATCCAGATTGGTAAAGAAGAAGTTAAACTGTCACTGTTTGCAGATGACATGATATTGTAGTTAAAAAACCCTAAAGAATCCACTCCAAAACTACTAGATCTAATATATGAATTCAGCAAAGTTGCAGGATACAAAATTAATACACAGAAATCTGTTGCATTCTTATACACTAACGATAAACTAGCAGAAAGAGAAATCAGGAAACAATTCCATTCACAATTGCATCAAAAAGAATAAAATAACATAGGAATCAACCTTACCAAGGAAGTGAAAGACCTGTACTCTGAAAACTACAAGACATTTAGCAGAGATATTAAAGAAGATACCAATAAATGGAAACACATCCCATGCTCATGGATAGGAAGAATTAATATTGTCAGAATGGCCATCCTGCTTAAAGCAATCAACAGATTCAATGCAATCCCTATCAAAATACCAACAGCATTCCTCAGCGAACCAGCGAAAATCATTCTACAATTCATATGGAACCACAAAAGACCATGAATAGCCAAAGCAATCCTGAGAAAGAGGAATAAAGCTGGGGGTATTATGCTCCCCAACTTCAAGCTCTACTACAAAGCCACAGTAATCAAGACAATTTGGTACTGGCACAAGAACAGAACAATAGACCAATGAACAGACTAGAAAGCCCTGATATAAACCCAACCCTAAATGGTCAATTAATATACAATAAAGGAGCCATAGACATACAATGGGGAAATGACAGCCTCTTCAACAGGTGGTGTTGGCAAAACTGGAGAGCCACATGCAAGAGAATGAAACTGGACTATTGTTTAACCCCATACACAAAAGTAAACTCGAAATAAATCAAAGACTTGAATGTAAGTTATGAAACTATAAAACCCTTAGAAGACAGCATAGACAAAAATCTCCTGAATATAAACATGAGCAACTTCTTCCAGAACGCATCTTCTCGAGCAAGGGAAACAAAAGCAAAAAAGAACACATTCATGGGACTACATTAAACTGAAAAGCTTCTGTATGGCAAAGAATACCATCAACAGAACAAAAAGGCATCCTATAGTATGAGAGAATATATTTGTAAATGACATATCCAACAAGGGGTTAACATCCAAAATATATAAAGAACTCACATGTCTCAACACCCAGAAAGGAAATAAACTGATTTAAAAATGGGCGGAGGATATGAAGAGACAATTCTCCAAAGAAGAAATTCAGATGGCCAACAGGCACATGAAAAGATGCTCCACATCACTAATCATCAGGGAAATGCAAATTAAAACCACAATGAGATATCACCTCACACCAGTTAGGATGGCCAGTATCAAAAAGACTAAGAACAACAAATGCTGGTGAGGATGGGGAGAAAAGGGAACCCTCCTTCACTGCTGGTAGGAATGCAAGCTAGATCAACCAGTGTGGAAAGCAGTATGGAGGTTCCTCAAGAAACTAAAATAGAAATACCATTTGACTTGGAAATTCCACTCCTAGGAATTTACCCAAAGAATACAAGTTCTCAGATTCAAAAAGACAGATGCACCCCTATGTTTATCGCAGCACTATTTACAATAGCCAAGATATGGAAGCAACCTAAGTGTCCATCAGTAGATGAATGGATAAAGAAGATGTAGTACATATATACAATGGAATACTATTCAGCCTTAAGAAAGAAACAAATCCTACCATTTGCAACATGGATGGGGCTACAGGGTATTATGCTCAGTGAAATAAGCCAGGCAGAGAAAGACAAGTGCCAAATTATTTCCCTCATTTGTGGAGTATAACAATGAAGCAAAACTGAAGGAACAAAACAGCAGCAGACTCACAGACTCCAAGAAGGGACTAGCGGTTACCAAAGGGGAGTGGTGTGGGAGGGCAGGTGGGGAAAAAGGGAGAAGGGGATTTAGGGGTATTATGTTTCCTACACATGGTGTTGGGGGTCATGAGAACGACAGGGTAGCACAGAGAAGGCAAATGGCGAATCTGTGGCATCTTACTATACCGATGGACAGTGACTGCAATTGGGTATGGGTGGGGACTTGATAATATGGATGAATGTAGTAAGCACATTGTTTTTTCATGTGAAACCTTCATAAGAGTGTTTATCAATAATACCTTAATAAAAAAAAAGACTGAACAGCAAAAAATAAATAATCAAATAAAATTACCTCTGGCTACTTACCAGGATTCAGAACTTGGAGGCAATTTCTATTTCCTGATTGGTCAGCACCTCCAAACACCCAGACGCTGTGAGGTGTGCAAGAGGGAACAAAGCTGGCATGCTCATACCGGGGCAAGAGGCCCTCCGAGGCGGTTAACTCCCAGCATTGTGTTCCTAGAAAATATTTCACCCCATTCCTAGACTGAGGTTGCCAAGTGCATACATTGGTTGACAAACTTGGGGGTGGGTAGAGAGGAGAAGAGGGTCAAAAGCATAGGTGAACAACCATCAGATCGCTTAAAGGGAATGTGGTAGAATTCCAAAAAGTTCTACAGTGGACACTTCTACTGTCTGTCTAGTCCATATGCCCTCTCATATGAAAACTGTCCCCACTCTCCCAACCACAGGGGGTAGCTTCAAGAGGACTTGTTTGTACTACAACCCCTTGACTTTCTAGCCTTTGCTGATGGGGTCTAAGGTAACCACTTGACCCAAAATGGGCCAATCAGACCTTCCCTCCCAGAGAATTTGGAATTCAGATTCCTGGATTTGGGTGGCCATATTCTACCATGTGTGGGAAGCAGATTTCCCCAGAGAGTGTGAGGGAGGAAGTAGATGGTTTCTGAGTTTCCCAGTTCCTCCTTCCACTCTTTCCTGAGGCTAGGCTATATTTTCTGCCATTGGACTCCTCCTTTTTTGCCGATTTAAGAGAGTTTCTGTTACCTGCAACTAAATGATTTTGGGATAAAACAGGTTCACAGAATAACACCCAACCTACAAGTTATTTTAGTTAGTAAACCACTCACACAGGACTTTGACAGGCATTATCTTGTTAGATCACCGTAACTGCCAATTGAAAAAGTTATTATTCTTATTTTACAGGACTGAAGCCCAGGTGGTTTAGATGGGTTAGCCAGAGACACAAAGTTAGTTATAGGTCACAACAAAGACATAACTGAACCAGACAGTGAGTTTCTTGAGGGCTGGAAGAGATTTAATTTACTTTTGATACCCTAGGACAAGTGTAGAAATTCAAATGCCTACATTAGAGCAAAGGGAATGTGGCTAATTGAAGCATGAGAGCCCCAGTGATAGGTGGCAGCTCAGCTCCAAATAATTGCTTCTATGTAGACGTACAGGCCTACTGATGTCAGATCTTCCAAAATTGCCAAGAGAAGCCAAACAACATCAATTTTTATATGTAGACTGCACATTTGGTAGGTAAACAACATAGACTGAAACAATAACAGCAATGTTTCATGGACCTAACAAAATGTGCATGTGGGTCACCAGTTTTCTTCTACTGTTGTGTATAGTACCTAGTAGTCCCTGTTCACTCATTCATTCATCCTTTCATCCAAATACTTTTAAAGCACCTGCTCTGTGCCAGGTGCTATGGTGTGGCTGTGGAGACAATGGTAAGAAAACCATGTTCCCTGTTTCTAAGGAGCTTATACCTTTGTGGGGAAGACAGGCAAGAGACAATCACATGTGAAAAGAGCTGTAAGGGGGAGAAGGACTGGAAAGAACTTCTAAAACCCTTGAAATTTCGTAAGCGATAATATCCATAAACGTGTCTTCCTTAACAAGCCCCTGGGTTTATGTTAATGAGGTGACTTTTGGAAAGCCGTTAAGGATGGGGGCGGGTTGCCAGGGGAACCAGCCACACGATTAGAGGGCTGGAACTATCATCAGTCCCAGCCTGCCCTCCATTCCCCACCCCCCTGCCCCTCCTCTGGGGTGGGGAGACAGGATGAAGGTTGAATCAATCACCAATGGCCAGTGATTTCATCAATCCTGCTTTTGTAAAAGAAACCTCTGATAAAAACTCAAAAGGAGGGGTTAGGAGAGCTTCCATGTTGGTGAACACGTGGAGGTGCTGGGAGGGTGGTGCGCCTGGAGAGGGCATGGAAGCCCCATGCCCCTTCCCTCAGAACTTGCCCCTTGCATCTCTTCTATCTGGCTGTTCCTGAGTTACACTCTTTTACAATAAACTGGCAATCTAGTAAATAAACTATTTTCCTTAGTTCTGTGAGCTACCCTAGCAAATTAATGGAACCCGAGGAGGGGGGTCACAGTAACCTCTGATGTATATAGTTGGTAGGTTAGAAGCACAGGTGACAATCTGGACTTGTGACTAGTGTCTGAAGGACTGGGGGGAGAGGAGTCCTGTGGGACTGAGCCCTTTATGTGTGGGAACTAATGCTAACTTCAGGTAGATCTTGTCAGAACTGAACTGAGTTGTAGGACACCCAGCAGGTGCTGCAGAATTGCTTGGTGTGGGGAAAAAAGACCACATATTTGACAGCTAGAAGCAAAGTACTGAGACAAGTGCTGAGAGGAGACACAGGAGGAGAGAAGGAGAGCAGCAGAGTTTCTCCTTTACAGTGGTAATGCCTACAGCAGTCCAGAAGTATCAGGGAAAGCTGACATTTATATGCCATTTAATCTGGGGTCTGAAAGATGAACAGTAGCCAGATGATAAGGAAAGGGAAGCCTTCTGAGCAGAGGGAATGATACGCACAAAGGCTTGGAGGCCAGAGTTCAAGATGTGCTCAAGTAAGTGAAGGACTCAGTGTAGCAAATGTGGGTTTGGGAGAGCCAAGAAATGAGGTTGGCAAAGGCTTGAAATGTGGGAGTGACATGGTCAGATGTGTATTTTAGACAATACTGTCTGGCTAGGTATGGTGAATGCACTATACAGGGGGGAACTTGGGAGACAGACAGGAGGATGTTATCATATCTGGTTTGGAGAGAATAATGCTTTGGCTATAATAGTGGTAGTGGCAATGGACAGACTTGGTGATGTACTGGATATATGGATGGAAGAGGGTGTGAAGTCACCAGTGTTTCCCAGAAAAATATTTGATGAATGAATAGCAGGATGTCCAGGGCTCCATACAAAACAATGAGGAACTGGTTGGGTGGATGTGTGTCAGGGGTCTGCTGAGACCTTAGGTGCCTCTCACTGCTGTCTGATGTGAACTGGTGTTCCTAGGAATGCTCTGGTCATGGCTGGCAGCAAAAAGCACTGCTCTCTGGTCACAGGGCATGTGCTTCATAGCTGCTGGTCTTACCCAGATCCATGGTGTGAACATCTGAGAAGCTTCTGTTTGGATCTGCTCCCCCAATGATGAAGACCTTCCCTCTCTTGGCATCACCAACAGGGGGTAAATATGAGCAGCTGTGGCCAACCCGAGCACAGGGGCTGTCTCCAGTGGGGGTTAAGGTGTACCTGCCAAGGGAGGATGTAATCAGAAGGCCTAAGTAGAGAATAAATGCAGTAGTGTGTTCTCTCCATTCCTCTTGAAATATTCACCTGAATAAAGAGTCTTACACATATACAGACATTTTAAACTGCATCCAATAAAGCAGCATTTCCCTGATTATTATCAGTACCTTCCATTTGCACATAAGCTTTGACTTTAACCCAATGGGGGTACACTGGGTTGGTGCTGTCCCCATTTGATAGGTAGGGAAACTGATGCCCAGGGATGTCCAGGTCCCATGGCCTGGCACAGGATAGTAGTTATGAGCATGATTTGTGAATTCAGAAAACTGGTTCGGGTCCCATGTCAGGTCCTTTCGAGATGTGTGACCTTGTGAAAGTCATTGAACCTTTCTGAACCTTGATTCCTTGTTTGTAAAATGATGATAACAATAGTTCTTGCCTGTGAAGAGAAAGCTGAAGTCTTGTGATAGTGCAGGGAAGGACCCAATGGTGGCTAGAGCTTTATGTGCCATCACATGGGAACCCACAGCCCCAGTGCTCTTGCCACTAGCCAGTGATGCTTCCCTCTGCAAGTAATATTCTCCTGAATTTATTGATGTTACGAGCTTTCCCAGATTACTCATAAAGCTGATGGAGGCCAAAGCTAGAACTTTGAAAAAAATCAAATACCAGATCTATTCATTTCACTCTCTAAATTTATTCTGAAAGCTGACTGAGAAAACATACCTCAAGCTTCGTGTTTGGAAAAGAAAATTCTGTCACTCTTCCTCAGTCCCTGTCTTATTTGACCTCTCTGGCATTTGTTACTCCTGACTCCTCCCTTCTTCCTGTACTTTTCGCCTAACTGGCTTCCCTATAATCTTCCCTTCTGGTTCTGCCCCCACCTTCTAGCTGATCTTTGTTACCTTCTGACTCCTTTCTCCTGCCAGCTTTCTCCTATTCCTCAGAATCCTTTGATTCTCTTTTCTTCTCCTCAGTCTATGTTTGCTTACTTGATCAATTTTATCTGTACTGATGGCTTCAATTACCACTCATCTATATATTCACCAGTGATTTTCAAATGTTTCTTTTTTAGATCTCTCTTCTGATGTCCAGATTCATATGTCCCATTATCACTTGGAAAATTCCTAACAATGGCCCATGCATGCTTTACAACCCTGGTTTCACTTAATCTGCACAAAACCCCTTTGAGGACAGTCTTATTATCATCATCTGAGTGTTACAGTGAAGGACCCAAGGCTTAGAAAAGTCAAATAACTTACCCAAGAGCACAAACATCCAGGTACATGGTGATTGAAACAAAAAAATTCCCTGCCTTCATAACCTTTATGGATTAGTTAGGAAGAGGAACATCAAACAGATAATTTCACAAATACCCATTTCATTTCAATTGTAGTATAAAAGAGTACAGGATATATACAGGACATACAGTATGAAAACATGTCATAGGGGGACGTCACCTTGTAAGGACCAGTAGAGGGTGTGAGGTGGTCAGAGAAGGTTGCCGGAAGAAGTACCATTTGAATTGAGAGCTGAAGTATGAGTAAAAGTTAGCTGGGCAGAGCAGGATGAACGAGGGAGGGGAAGAGTGATCTAGGCAGGGAGACCAGCATGAACCGTTCCTGAGAGGCACCTCACAAGGCACGTTAAGGAAGAGAAAGAGAACGAAGGACAGGTAAGGGGATTTGAGGTGGGAAAGATAGGCAGGGACAGATCATGCAGGGTCCAGTGGGCCATGTTAAGAACTCTGGTTTTTATCTGAAGACCAATGGGGAGGTAAAAAAGGGTTTCCAACCAAGGACTGCCATGATCAGATTTATGTTGGGTAGAGAGCAGGAGTGGACACAGGAAAGCCAGATCGGAGTCTCCTCCAGGGTCCTGTGGAAGTACTGCCTCCTCTCCACACCTTCTGTGAACCCCACTTCACCACTGCTCCTGTTTCCTCACCATCACCTGCTCAGTGTACAGCCCCCACTACACTGAGACCATTCACCTCTGTACCTTTGTCACCAACACGGCAGCTGCCCCTCAGGCCAGTGTCAGTTACTGAATGAAGGGTTTGTTGAGCAACACCCAAGAAAGCCAGTTTAAACCAAATCCAATTCTCTGAAAATCTTAAAAATGAGTCACAGCTTAGGGGAAGACACAGTGTTGAAGCTGAGGATGCCAGATGGTCAGTGCATTACTCTTCCTGCTAAGTGGATATTAATAAAATCAACATCTGGTTTGTGATAATTATTGCCCCACTATCTTTCCTCTGAAGACCTTCTCAAACAGTATGAGTCTAATTGCCAGAAACTGCAGTTTAATCTCTACCCTTTTCCTAGATGATCAAATATGTTAGTAAACTACTTATAAAAATGAGACAAAAACTCATGTTTTTCTCTGTCTGAATCCTTCCTTACAGACCATGTTGCTCTTCTGGGCTTGTCTCCAGGCTCCAAGACTGGCAGCTGCTTCATGGTGTCCTATGCATGAGAAAGAAAGACACTCTTTAGACATTTACCATTATTTTCCACCTAAAACACAGAACAAATCAGGTCCCTTTCCTTTTTAAAAACTTTCCTGTTCATGTACCAATTTCTAGGGCCTGATTAATTGGCATAAGCATTTCCAACCTTTTTGATAAAAGCTTATATTCGGGAGGCAAATATAATAGAACTTTCTTAACACAACTGCAGAAGTTTTTTGAAGTTTTCTGTATTTTCATGGGGAAGGGGCATGCATCAAAATAAATTTTTAGAGGTCCTAAAATGTTTATCAAAAGATAAAACATTTTAAAAGGCTGAGAAGTACTGAACTCAGATGAATTCTGAGTTCAGCACGGCATTCAAAGCCTTTTGGTCTGTCTCAACTGTCTTTCCAGGAACTCACCTCCACAATTTCTTGCTATATTGAGCAGTTCTTGCTATATTTTTTGTTCCTCTAAAATGGCAGGCCTTTTCATAACTTGTATCCTGTGCTGACTGCCCTATGTGAAATGTCTCTTTCCTTCTTGTCACCTAGAATACTACTAGTCAACTTGCAAAGTCCAGTTCAAATGTCACCTCCTCAGTAAAACCTTCCCTGATTTGTTGCTTTCCACTTAAATTCTCAAATTACTTCCTTCTCCCTCTGAAGGTTATCTATTCAGCCACCATCATTGCAAGGATCACCCTGAATATAATTATTTACAAGTCTCTGGACTAGATTCTAAATTCTAAGAGAGCTGAGCCTACCGGATTCATTCCGAGAATCCACCAAAGGACCCGGCGTAGAGTAGAGGTGAGGGATAAATGAATGAAGAAAGAAAATGGATGAGATTTCTGGGAGGTGAATGGGTAAGTCCAAACTTAAGCCTAAGCCACCGACTGCTGTCCCCAAAGCCCAAAAGCTCAGTGGGATAAACCTCACACGGGCTGGGATTCCCCGCGGCCACCCCGACAGTCCCATTCCCCAGTCCGATCCCCGCGTGGCAGCAGTGGGGGAGGAGACAGGGTCGGCAGAGCACAGGCTGGTTGCACGGTCAGTGATGCCGGGCCGTAGCCCAAGCACGCCCCTCCCAGCGCCTTCCACCCGGCCCGGGCCCAAGTCCCTAAAGGATGCAGCCGCCCCTGCCCGCGATCGCGTCAGACCCTTCGCAGCGAGACCTCAGGCCCAGCACCGCGTTACCTGAGGCGGCTCAGGACGGTCCCCGGCCGTGGCTCCGCCCCACTAGGGGGCGGGGCCTGAGCCTTGGAAGAGCGCGGCGGCCGAGCGCGCCGCCCCTCCCCGCCCCGACGGCGTGCCTTTGGAAGCAGGCGGGGGTGTCTTCCCGGCCCCGGGTGGCGGCCAGGCTGTGCGTTTCTCGGTAACCGAACAGGCCCGACAGCCTCTGGGGCCTTCCTTCCCCAGCGGAGTCAGTCAGGGATACTTGGAAACAATTTACAAGGGAAATGGCCGGGGCTGGGCGTCCAGTTGGAGGACCCAGATTCCTTTGGCAGCTGGGCTATCCTAAAGCGGGTAGGATTATTTTCAGTTCCAACCGCTGTTAGAAATGGTTCCTGAAAGGGAAGAGTTAAGGTGCTTTCCTAGGTGTGGAATCTCCTGGCGCAGTCCTTAGGCCAGTTCAAGCTTTGGCGCGTTAGGCAGTTGACTCACTATAATTAGCTTTTGTAAATATGGCAGGCACTTGGCGAACAAGACAAACATGGCCCCTGACCTGTAGTTTACAATCTAACAAGAGAGATTAAACAAATAACTAGGTATTCATTCATTTGTAAAAAATGCAAGGAATAAAAAGTTCATCAGTGGGAGTATCTATTTTTGGGTAAATTACTTTTCTCTGCACCTCAGTGTTGCCTGTCTGTAAAATGGAGCCAGTAAGACTTTTTGTCATAAGGTTATTGTGGCACAGAGCTGGTCCTCTCTAAAGTGTTAGGCTATTCACAGCTATAAATGAACTCTGGACACCAGTCCTGACTTAGACATGTTCATCTGCATTACTTCTGGTCTCCTTCATAACCATAGGTTCTCTGTGGCTTTTCTGAAAACAGAGAGGTGGCTCACCTATGTTTATGTTTCAGAAGACCCCACAATTTACTTAGTAGGGCTGAAGCCAGTTGTGTCCTAGGAAATAGAGGAAGCCCCATGAGCTCCTGGAGTACAGAGCATAGTGGGAAGCAGACAGACATACCTGGGTTCAAATCCTGGCTCCAGCACTAACCATCTAATCCTGACATATGGCAAGTTCATTACCTTCTCTGAGTCCTAGTTTCCTCACCTCTAGAAAGGGAATTGTAATACCTACCTCACGGAACAGTTGAGAGGATTTGATGGTACTGATGAAAGGCCAGCTTGTAACAAACAACCCAATGTGTCTATCACCTCTTCCAAGAACTCACCCAATATCTGAGGGATGCTTCCCTCCTTTCTATCTGCTGTGGATGTCAGGAGTGAGGATCACTGAATGAAGTGGGTCTGCACGAGGGAGATTTTCACTTCCAGACAGTCTGGTAATGTGAGGACTGCCACTTATTTTCACTGGAAAGGGATACTATTCACTTTCATTACCTACCTGTTCATTAACTTATCAGCAAGGGAAGAATATGCTGGTGATATCTTCCTTTCAAGCATGTTATAGTTTGTAAAAAACATTCATATCCAACTCTCTTTGTTCTCTTTCCCAATTCTGAAAATTTATCTTGAGTAGATTCATTTGCAGTTACTGAGATTCAGAGATGAAAAGTGAATTTCCAGCTTTCCAAAGACTAATTGGGGGAAAAAAGTCAAATAACAGTAGTGTCTTTTCCTCATTTGGAATTTTTTCCCCAAGAAACTCTGAGCATATTATCCTGATACGTTTTCCTCCTAAAATCTGAAATGTTACTCCTTTAGAAAAATCCTTTCTAGCCTACCCACTACTCAGGGCTAACATTCATTCACATTGCACTTACTTTGTATATGACATTGTTTTAAGCCCTTTCCAAATATTAACTCTATTAGACCATCAGTATAAACCTATAAGTAATATGAGGTAGGCACTGTTATTATTTCCACATTGGGTGCTAGAGTCTGCACACTTTACCTCCACTATATTGTCAACCTAAAGAAGGCCCGTTCTACTACTATTTTCTTACTCATAGTACCACTCCTTTCCCCTTTTAGCACCAATCACACTTTGCAATTACTTGCTCATTTATATGTACAGTTTGTCTTCCCTATCAGACCATAAGCCACAAGAGAGGAGTCGTATCTGTCCTATTCACATCATAGGTACAATAAAATTATTTGTTGAATAAATGAAGAAATGTATGTTTGTGGACATGATTCATTCTGCAACAAATTTTTATTTATTTATTTATTTCACATTTCATCATATCATTTAATTTAAATTGGGATCATTTTATTCACATTGATTATTATATATTAAGACTACTTAAAAGGTATTGAGTCATTAAAACATAATACATGTTGGTTAAAAACTGCACATGGAATGACTCCTGCAGACATCTCACGTGCATGCATGCAGATTAATGTTCAGGATCACACTGGAAGGCTGAGTCTTTCTGCAACAAATTTTTAAAAACTAATTTTACTTTGAAAAATTTTATACTTACAGAACAGTTAAAAGAATTATACAAAGAACTATACAAGTCTAGCCAAATGTCCCCCAAATATACTTCAAAGTAAGAAGATCAAGTCCAGGATTACCTGGACAACAAATATTTGTTGAACATCTGCTACGATTGGAGTGTATATCAGTTTCCCAACCAGTCTCTTAGCTGCAAGCATTGTCTCCTACAGTCTCATACAGCAGCCACAGTGATCACTTTAAAAAGAATTTACTCTTTTGTTCAAAACCTGCCGTAACTCCCCATTATATTAAAAGTAAAAATCAGTGTTTTCTCTTATCTCCTTTCCTTCTCCTCTTACCTTGCTCCAACAACAAGATTCTACATATGTTTCCATTTTAGGGCCTCTGCATCAGCTCTTCCCTATAGTTTCCCTCAAGTATCTGCATAGCTGACTTCCCCTTCTCTTTGTTGGTTCTTAAAAATGCTTCACCCCATCTCTCTTACCCTGCTGGGCACCCTCCTCTCCCGCAGCACTTAACACTTTGTAATATGCTATACAGTTATTTGTTATGTTTATTTTTATGTTCCATCTCCTCTACAGAAATGTTGCTACAGGCTGAGGATAGGGATCTCTATTTTGTTTGCTGAATATCCCAAGTGCCTACAACTCTACCTGGCACATAGTTGGTATTCAATAAATAGCTGTTAAATGAACCAACGTTTAAGGTATACTAACTGCCAGGTCTTGTTCTTCGCGCTGGGGGTACAACAAAATACTCTCTGCCCTCACTAGGGCAAACTCGTTAGATCTATGTTCCAGTCTCGGCTTCCATGCTTATTCCCTGAAGAATTTGGGCAAGTTACTTAACCTCTCTGAGCCTTGCTTTCTATCAATCGTTATGAGGATTAAACGTAAAAAACAGCATCTATATAGCACTTAGCATAAAGAAGATTTAGCATAAAGAACTCTTTAATATTTGTTTCCCTACCTTCCAGGCTGGAAGACTGGTAGCCTGACATCTCTGCCACAGGTTTAGGCATGGTTTTCACAAAGCGTCGGAGAAGTGCAAATGGGTTACTACGGCCACGCTTACCTAATTTTTTTTTTTTTTTTGAGAGGGCATCTCTCATATTTATTGATCAAATGGTTGTTAACAACAATAAAATTCAGTATAGGGGGGTCAACGCTCAATGTACAATCATTAATCCATCTCAAGCCTAATTCTCGTCAGTCTCCAATCTTCTGAAGCATAACGAACAAGTTCTTACATGGTGAACGAATTCTTACATAGTGAATAAATTCTTACATGGTGAACAGTACAAGGGCATTCATCACAGAAACTTTCGGTTTTGATCATGCAATATGACCTATAAACAATCAGGTCAAATATGAATATTCGTTTGATTTTTGTACTTGATTTATATGTTGATCCCACATTTCTCCTATTATTATTATTATTTTTATTTTTAATAAAATGCTGAAGTGGTAGGTAGATGCAAGATAAAGGTAGAAAACATAGTTTAGTGCTGTAAGAAGGCAAATGTAGATGATCAGATGATCAGGTGTGTGCCTATGGACTAAGTATTAATCCAGGTTAGACAAGGGCAGCAAGACATCCACGGATGCAGAAGATTTCTCTCAAAGCAGGGGGGGTGAGGTTCTGAGCCTCACCTCTGTTGATCCCCAAATTCTCACCTGATGGCCCCCCTGCGACTGTGCCTGTCTTAGGTTGTTCCTCCCTTGAGGAATCTTACCCATCTCTGGCTAACCAGTCATCTTCCGGGGCCATACAGGGAAATGTAAAGTTGGTAAGTGAGAGAGAAGCCATATTGTTTGCAAAGGTTAGCTTTTTACTTCTTTGCAGATTTATGCCCTGTGGCTTCTATGCCCAGCACTTGTCTCGAGGTATCTTTACCACCTGGAGGAAACACGCTTACCTAATTTTTAACTGAAGATGTTCTGTTGAGAGAAGAACTAAAAGGGTTGGAGTGAGAAACCAGGGAATGGCTGAAGTCACTTACTTCGCAGTTTTGCCTCGGAAAGCCTCTCTGGGTCCCTGAAAGGTGAAGTCTGGAGAAAGGGAAAGGGAGGAAAAGAGAGCCAGCGGGCTATTACTTAAAACTACAAGTCCCAGCACTCCTCGCGGCAAACAACTACGGGTCCCAGCAGGTTTCACTCTGGAACGAGTGGGCGTCAAGGGACCTGCAGCCTGGCTTCACCGAGAGAGGGCGTGAGGCTTGCCTAAGCAGCGGGGGAGTCGGGTTAAGCGTTACGTCACTGCGCAGTCGCGTCTCACGGGTCGGACGTGACGTAGAAGAGTTCCGGCTTCGGCCCCCGCCGCTCCTCCCACCACTACAGCCACTGCCGCCGCCACCGCCGCTGTTGGGGGTGGTTTGTTATTTCTAAAATGGCGCCCCTGGACTTGGACAAGTATGTGGAGATAGCGCGGCTGTGTAAGTACCTGCCGGAGAACGACCTGAAGGTGAGTCCGGTCAGGGCAAGAACGCCGCTTGCGGGGCTCGCCCCTTCCGGGAGCAGGGCGCCAGCCGGCCCGCTCCTCCACTCTCTGCGGGACCCCCGCCGGTATCCCGTCCCGTCGCGGTGGAAGGCCTAAAGCGGGGCGAAGCGACCCGGGCCGACCTGGAGTCACGTGGAGAGCCGGGAAAGCCGAGTCCCCCGAATGCTCTCCCGGTTCCCTCAGCGGGGATCCCGAGGGATGTCGCGGCCTCTGCTCCAGGATTGACACCCCCTCCTGGCCTTCGGGCTGCCCCAGGGCTCTGACACCTAACAGCTTTGCTTAGAAGACTCCTTCCCCTTCCCGACCCAGCCCCGGTCTCTCGGAGCCCGAGCCGAGCCCCAGCGGGCAGTGCACTCGGGATGGGCTTATCCCCCCAGAGGTTGTGACAGGAGCGCGGGGTGGCTGGGGACTGACAGGAGATGCCGCCGGCTCCCGGGACGCCGCCCCAGTGTGCTTAGGGTCCCGAGGAGTGGCAGGACGGTGGGCCAGAGCGGTTTGGTAGTGATGTGAGAGAACAAAGTCTTCCCTCTTTCCGTGGCCTTCCCGCAAGTTGCTTTTGAGGAGTGTTGGTTTTCTTTTGCTAATTCAGATAGTAACCGATTTTCAAGTACTTGTTGAATTCATTTAAGTGGATGAAGTAGTCGTCCTTCAGTAAATATACTTTTCTGTCCCATCATTTATTCCCCTATAACCCTTCTTAATTCGGGATTTCATTTTCTTGGTTTCCCAAAGGAGATTTGTGCCTTGTTACGGCCGAGTCCAAGTAATAGTAAATATATGTGTGAGTAAAGGAATAAATATAAGAGTTAAGGAATGTGAGTCTTTGGCATAACGGTTTTTTGACGAGTGTTTCTATGCGTTTGTTAAAACCAGTGCTTGGGTGTCTACCATCGTTTAGTGGTTAGTAGTAGCCTGTTTTATTTGTTCAGTTAACTTTAATTTGCTCTGTGGTAACTGGATAAACTGTTGATAGTTTTGAGTCCTTTTTATTCTTGAATCTGTGGGCTTAAAGCAGTTTATCTTTGTGAATTTTTTCTGTTAAGGAAGGTACGTTATTGGTTTTTTTCTTTTGCTATCTCTTGGTACAGGAAGTTAATATTTAATAAGTCAGTCAACTAGTATGCAAAATGTTAAAGTCATGGGAGCTGTTGTGAATGTAATTTATTTATTTGTACTTAAATGTTAGCCATATGTGCTATGTGATGTGGGAGTCGTTCTTGTGCATTTCCCCCTTTTTAATAGGATAGTTTCATTTAGATAAGGGCAAAGCCAATACTAGTAGAAATGTAGCTTTCATGCTTAATCTGAGTCCTTCAGACATTAGTTTTGTGGCTTCTTTCTGCTGTATGTTTTTTTTTTACGAAACAAGGATACGACCAAAATTGGGACCCAATTCATGAAAAACTAACCAGATGTCTTCTGGTAGCATTGTTAATCCCATAGGTGAAATTGATTTTTGCATATCAGTGAATTGATGTGGAATTTTCTGTTCTTTAAGCACATGTAAAGTTGTTTTACACTTTGTGTTTATAATGAATAAAATGTTGCTTATTGAAAATGTATCTTGATGTTAACTTGAAATTGGATATTGAAATGGTCTGGAAGATAATCAGTTGGATTTTCTTTAGACCTCTTAATTTCATAAACATTAGGTTTCCTTCCTCCCTTAAGTAAATAATTATTAAACCATTTCATATCCATTTGCAACACAATTGAACTGTAGTTAGCATGTATCTGTTTCTGTTTTTTTTAATTAAGGTAACATTGATATACAATCTTAGAAAGGTTTCACATGAGCAACATTGTGGTTGTTACTACATTCACCCATATTATCAAGTCCCCTCCCCCCACCCCGTTGCAGTCACTATCAGTGTAGTAAGATGTTAGAGGCACTACTTGTCTTCTCTGTGCTGTACTGCCTTCCCCTGTGACCCCCCTACATTATAAGTGTTAATCAGCATGTATCTATTTCTTAATAAAGTTTTTATTTTTAAATATTCTGGATAACTACTGGGAAAAAAAAGAATTCTGAATTCTTCTCTGTAAGTGGAGGCTTGTCTTCTCAGAAATGTTTTGATCAGATTAATTTGCTTGTGCTGCTGATCTCTGGTGTATTTAAAGAAATTTGATTTTGTTGTTATGTCTCAACATGAAGTGCACACTAAAATTAGGCAGGCCATGAAAGTATTCCAGGAACACCTTTTCTGAGGCTTTAATGCCAAAATAAAAGATTTTATCAGGGAAGAAATCATTGGGGCCACTTATGATGATTATGAAAAACACTTGTTTTGGTAGAAAAGAAAACAGAAATTCACCTTTGTTTTTAAATTGACTAGAAGTTGGAGGTACTAAGTAAAATAAATGGAAAGGATGTTCTGGATCTAATCAGGATTTCTCTGTATCTGAATTGGAAATGGTCAGATCAGTAGTACTGGATTAAGTCTACATACTGTTGTGAAATAATAAGGATGAAATATGTGAAAGTGAGTGGAACAAGGCATAACCTTAAAGAGTTCATGTGATTCTCATCCATTATAAAGATTTCAGAGCAGATCATAGGAGATACAGATTCCATATCTGGCCAAGTGGAAGAATGAATGATAAAAGGCAGGTTTACTGAATATGCAAATATTTTGGCAGATTGTCTAATCTGACTTTGGAGAGTGGCTGATATCTCGGACAGTTCTTCAAGGTGACATATAAGTAAAGAAATTGCACACTGAGGTTTTCTGCTGAGGAACTGAAGACAGTTACTGTGGTGTAGGGGTTGGGAGAATACTATCTCAGGGATGTAACACAAGGAAGGAATTGTGTAATTCCATAGTAACCACTTCTGTGGATTAATAACATAATCTTTTTGGAATGCACTTTTATGCTTAGTCTGAGCCATCTCTGAGTCTTTCTGGTTACCTGCTCTGCGAAATTGTACCTCTGAAATGCCTCCATAAACCTCCAAAGTCCTTGCTCCTTTCTGAGCTTGGCGAATAGCCTTTCACACCTCCTCATTCAGCCTCCATCTGATTTTATAGATTCTCATCATCTCTAACCTGTTAGTCTTGTCACTCCCCTTTTTGCCTGTCTTATTGATCATTCTGTGTACCTGAGTTGTTTTTTTACAGTGTATCTTTCTAAAGGTAATGCAAGGAAAATCAAATACAGTACCACAGTTAGGGACACACTGTGACTTTGCATAGGGTTTTAAGAGTGTTTTCTGTGTTTTCCAGACCCTTTCTGATAGTGCCTGATGTTTTGTTCACATTCTCCTATGTCTTCTGAAAATTGTTATAACAGTGCTGCCCAATAGAAATAAAATGCTCAGAAATGTGAGACTCAAATTGTCACATTTATAAAAAGTAAAAAGAAACAGATTAATTTTAGTAATATTTAACCCAGTTTTAACATGTAATCAATATAAAATTATTAAAGTAATATTTTGCTCTTTTTTTGTACCAAGTGTATGAAATGTGGTGTATATTTTAACTTACAACACATCCCAATTCAGACCAGCTGTATTTCAGATGCTCAATAGCTACCTGTGGCTGTTGGTGTTATGTAGGACAGTGCACACTTCTAATGACACCCCAGTCCCTTTCTTGGAATTTCAGAGTTGAGAGAGTTAGAGTTTGCCTAGTTCTGTACCTTTACTGAACAGGAATCTTGAGTTTCATAGAGGATGTCCTGCTAATCAGTGAATTACGTTGGAAAGCTTCCTTGTGCAGACCTCTTTCTAATATAGTTAATAGCCTTTTTAGGATGGCAAATATGCTTTTCTGGGTATGTCTTCTACTTCATAACCTTTCTTTTTACCTTCTACTCTAAGCACATTGGACTGCTTTCTTCTGACAACATGCCCTGTACTTCCCTGCTTTTCTTCTTTTCAGTCTCTTTCACCTACTTATTTTATTCTTACATAGCACAAATATTAAATCATTTAATACTCTGTGAGTTGGATGCTAAGATTTACTGCATTTTACAGATAGGTAACTGAAGCCCAGACAGATTAAATAACTTTCCAAAGTCATACAGCTAGTAAGTCAGTGGAGGAGCTGTAATTGATTCAGACCTAGGCAGTCTGGCTCCAGGGTTCTTGTCCAAAACTACCGCTTGTGATTTCTCTATACAGTACCGTTCATGCTCCTTTTGAAGTCTAGCTCAGATGGCACTTTCTTCAGGTAGGGCTCCTGTATTCCACAATCAGAATTATTAGCAATGATTAGGATTTATATAGCTACTTAGAGTTTTCAGAGCACCTTCATGTCCACTCTACATTGACATAATTCTTGTGTAAGGCGGATTAGATAATCAGTCAGGTTTGATGTCTAATTTTCACCATAGTGACTCAGAGATACATACCTGATTTATTTGCTATTAAAAATTCCCATTCTTCTCTGTACTGACCTTTGCCCCATTGCACTTTATTGCTCCATTTTACCACTTACAGTGTTCTGTTTTGTAAGATAGGAAAGATGTCTGTCTCCACCATTAGACTACAAGCTTCTTGAGGGCCAGGGTCATATCTTGTTTATTATTTTCCTCTGCACTGCCTTGTATGTGATAGACAATCAGTTAAGGTTTGTTGAATCAACTCTGTACTCTGCTTTACAACAAACATTTCTTTGGCTGTCTCCGTTTGTCAAGTACTGTTCCTGTGGGTGCTAGAGATAGAATCTGGTACTTCTCTGTGCCTTTGAGGGTCACTCAAAGTAAGGGAGGTAGAGAGGTAAACAGTCATTGCATGGTGCGCTAGGTGCTATGTAATAGAGCGCTGTCCAGAAGCAGCAGCATCTAACTCTGGAGGTAGAGGTGATTTCACGAAGGAGGAACAGTGAAAGAATGAACAGAGCCTGTACAGGGGGACAAACATGGAAGCAGAAAAAATACCGTGTGCAGGGGTATAGCTTAATCTGGAAGAGTGTGACTGGTTCAGGGAACTTGAAGTAGTTTGGTATGACTGGAGGTGGTGT